GCTCGACCCCTTGAATTTTTAAGCCTTCTGTCTTCGGTTCTGACCTTTGCCTGCATGACTACGCCTCTTTGTCTACTCCTCCGGTCCCTTTAGTCATCTGCTCTTTGGTTTTGGACCCTGGCTCATTGGACCAAGACTCTGCGCCTGATGGACTCATCACCTGCCTGTCGCTGCAGCCCCTCACTGGACTCAGCTCCTCCAGCAGCGGTCTGGATCAGTTTGGTCTTCTTCAGTCTCCAGAACCCCCAAGATCATCTGAGATGGTTAGTGGTCCTCCTTATTTGACTTTTCTGCTCCCATTGTCTCCTGCACGACCACTAACTGATCTCTGTCTTGTAGACTTGTCCCTGATCCGGAACCTGTACCTGAATCAGTACCCGAACCAGAACCAGTACCAGAACCGGCCCAATCTGCAATATTTTACTAGAAAATAAATTTAATTTAATTTTTACTATGTGTGGTGATTTTGGTCCAAACATAAGGGGGTTCGTTACAATTTTAGTTTTTAACATTTATTTAAAAAACTCTTAAAACATAACCAAAATGAGGGTTCTTCAATGTTAATTAGGATTTGGTGAAATTACAAACATTATAATTAAAAATAAAAGCATATTTTCTAAAGTTGTTACACAGAAAATAAATGGATATTTTTACAACCTCTAACCTCTGAGCAGACACATTATGTGACACCCCCCCCCCCCCCCCCCCCGGTGCTCTCCAGTGCACCCCCCTGAGGGTCAGTCCCCCCAGGTTGGTAATCACTGGTTTAGAGGACCAGCATTTATCTTAGCTAAATTCCATCCATCCATCCATTTTCTTTACCCGCATATTCCAATTTGGGTCATGGGGGTCGCTGGTGCCCATCCATCCATCCATTTTCTTTACCCGTTTATTCCATTTTGGGTCACGGGGGTCGCTGGTGCCCATGTCCAGCAATCACTGTGCGAGGGGCGGGGTACACCCTGGACGGGTCGCAAGTCCATCACAGGGCCACATAGAGACAAACGAGACAAACAACCATTCACTCTCTCACTCACACCTAGGGACAATTTAGAGTTACCAATCAGCCTAACATGTATGTTTTTGGACTGTGGGAGGAAACCGGAGTACCCGGAGAAAACCCACGCATGCACGGAGAGAACATGCAAACTCCACCCAGAAAGGCCCCTGGACCGGGGTTTAAACCAGGGACCTGCTCGCTGAGAGGCAGCAGCTCTACCAGTTGCGCCACCGTGCTGCCCTAGCTAAATTCCTTCTTTTTTTTTTTTTTTTTTAGGACTCCTTTTCACAGACACACTCATGTAAGAGATAAGAGATGGAGTGAGTTACTTTCGTGTCTTTTTTAACTTTAATTTTGATATAACAACCTTTTATGCGAGTTATTTAAGTATTTACCATCCTTTTCTGTACATTTCATTTTGAATACAATCTTGCCTACATGCACTAAACTCATAACAGAAGTGTTTGGTGTTTCCTAAGTCCTGATGAGTGCCATTTAATTGTTATTTTTAAGGCACAAACTGGGTCAGGTAAAGGTTTTGTGTGGAGAGTCCACTAAAGCCCCTTTTCCAATAATAACAGTAAAGCAAGATTCGACTCGAGTCGGCACAGTTCCAAGACTTTTCCACTAGCAATTATTTGTGGAACCAGCCCCTTTTTCGCTGGGGTTCCAAGCATATTGTACTGGCCTTAAAACATGACATCAGTCCACTGTCGGTCACTGATTGGTCATGGGTCAAGTCACTGGTTTGAGAAACTTCCACTAACCCAATTGACCATTTACAATAACTCGAACTCAAGGAGGGACTGGACCTATTTTTAAGAGTTTAAAAACCATAATGACAACATCATGGTCTAATGCTGAAGTGCAGGCATTTTTTGTGCTTTGTGGCCGACGACAAAATTCAAAGCGAGCTAGATGGCGCTCCGCTGGTCCTCTCCACCGGAGCCTTGGAGCCCCCTCAGGCCAGGCAGGGCATCATCTCCCTGGCTCTGAGCTCTGCTGGTCACTGTGGAGGATCCTCCATGATGCCGACCTGCAGGAACGTGCGAGGCCGGGGCTCAGATGGGCCCCAGCCTCTCGCGCTCCTGCGAGCTCCGAGCTGAACCCGCCCACTAGAACCATTACTGAAAGTATAATGAAAACACAACTCATACTGTGCTGAGCTGAACCATGCTGTAACGATACTAATGGTACTAATGGAAAATAGGCATAAGCGTGGGAACATGACCCCGATACTCACACACACTTGTTCGGTTCTCAATAAGCCCCCTGAGTGGGAGTGAAGAAGACTTGGCACTTACTGATCATGCGACAAGGCATGGTTTGATTTAAAGGATGGCTGTTTGGGTATTCTTCTGCCTAATTTATGGAGAGACCTGACTTCTGTAAAATAAGGTCAAAGTACAGTATCAATCCTACTTGGTCCACAGAAAGTTGCATGGATCACTACTTTTCTCTGAGTCAGAGTCTGGTAGGTGAGAGCAGACTTCTGAGCTCACAGGTGAGACAACAGCTTACTCCAAAGTGGAACAAACCAGTTATGTTTGTGCTAAGGTGGTCTCTTTGGCACGCCCTCTCCTCCGGTGCCGGCCTTCTCCCTCATCGACAGTCATGTCAAACTGGTTCAAAACCAACAAAGTCCATGCTCAATAATCCAGGTATACAATCCAACAATTTTCAGTCAGGTCATCTGGACAGTTCCACCTGATTAAGCTGAGGAAAAAAAAGATTTGTTATAAAGCACTATATAATGACAGTTATGTAACCAATAACTCTCTGGTAATCTGGAATCAGATTAAACTTTATGCTAAAGCTCCTATAATGTATACGGACTCTCCTACATGTGAAAATCATGCTTTTCAACCAGGCCTAACTGATACTGTCTTCTCTGACTGGAAAAAGAAGGGTATCTATAGCTTAAATGAATTTTATTTAGAGGGACATTTTGCTTCATTTTCACATCTTCAAGCCACTTATAAAATTCCCAACTCAAGTTTTTTTTTAGATATTTACAAGTTAGAGATTTTATAAAAAAGAACATACCAAATTTTGAAACCTTAACTAAAAATAAAACCTTAGAAGAAATTATCAACTTCAACCCAGCCACCCGCGGGGCTATCTCTCCCTTCTATCGAATCATTCACAACAGTGCTTTATATACCATACCATTTTATTTATAGAGCACTTAAAACAGCGACAAGGCCAACCAAAGTGCTGTACAGACAGAACAACAGGTAACACACACAGCAAAATACAAAATGAGGTAAATCAGAATATAGACATAAAAACGATGCAGATAATGACAACAAACCAGTGTGGAGCATACAGGATCAAGACACAGATCATCTGGTGTTGAAAGCTACTGAATAGTAGTGAGTTTTTAAACAGGACTTGAAAACTGAGAGGGAGGGGGCCTGTCTGACAAGCAGAGGTAACTTGTTCCAGAGTCTTGGTCCTGCTACAGAGAAGGCCCTGTCACCTCTGCGCTCATCTATGTAATCATTGTAAATGTATGACAGGTAATCTGGCACACTCCTTTTGGTACTGGAATAAAATACAACATATTGGAAATCTATTTTTCTATGTTTTTCAGATTCTTTCGGTAACAATGTGTTACCCAACACTCTTGTAGCAATCTTGGGAGCTGTTAGTGTTCTTTCTTTAATTAACCACTATGAGAAAAGAGCTCTTCTTTTTGGGATGGTAATAGCAAAGAAATTAATTTTACGTATGTGGAAACTGGATTCTGTCCCGACATTTGCTTTGTGGATGGGACAGATGTTTAACATGTTGCACCTGGAGAGACTGAGACTGTATAATGAAGACAGAGGAGCTGAGTTTCACCAGACATGGGACTCTTTTCTGAAATACAACAAAGGCAATGAACTGCAAACTTTAGTAACCTTGTGAAACTCACTGTTTGACAGGATATATCATTTTGAATATGCATAATAAGTATGAGTTTTTGTTTGTATGTTTTTTTTTTAAGGTTTATAACATGCAGACGTGCTTTGTTCAGTCTGTCAATAGTCTAAAAGTATACTCTTATGTTTTTTTTTTTTCTAGCATTCATAAAATGAATAAATACATATAAAAAAAAAAGATTTGTTTTCTGTTGTTGTTTATTCATTTTACGGCTTCCATCTTCTGCAGGGGTTGCCACAGTGAGCAAACTCACATAAAAAAATGTGTCAATTGTTTTCCACTGGACGCCCTTCCTGATGCAACCTGGGCTCAAATCTGCAGCCTCATGACTACAGGACCACTGCCGCCCCCCATTGTTTGTGTTTGATTAATTATTTGTATTTATTATTATCCTTTATCTATCCACACAAATCTTTTTTGTAATTGGAGGCCTGGGCCTGAAGGCAGCCAAACGTGCATGTTTTTCGACAGTGGGAGGAGAGCCACGCTAACACGAGGAGAACATACACACTCCACACTGAAAGACCCCAGGTCCAAACCAGAGATTGAAGCCAGGAGCTTTTAGCTGTGAGGCAATACTGCTAACCATTAAGCCATCATGCTGCCCAACTTATCTTATATGTAGAGAGTTCACGTATATTTTAGTTTTTGTATTTCCTTTAAAGCCACATTGTGGCTGTGCTGAATGCTCCTGTTTGCTCTTCAGTGTCTTTACATTGTTCCGGCAGACGGGCATTCTATTACCATCTTCTGAAAGGCACTTTTTAAAGGGATGTGATGTTTTTGTTGTGCAGCTGCTGAACAGCGGGTGATGAACAATCATTTTGTTTTATTTGCAACATTAAATACAAGCGTCTCTGCATGGGTTTGTCTGAGCGGCATGTGTTGCTCTGCAGATTAATGGTAATAAACAGTTTTATAAATCTACCGATACATGTTGTGTCTGCCTTTTTGTCTTTGCACCTTCCTCCTGACCATTCACACAAACAAAAATCATTCATTTTTACAAAACAGAGGGTAGGTAGGCCTGCTGCGAAGTGTGGTAATGTTCATGCTCTGATTCATTGAACCCCTAGCCCTCGGTGATGGTCTCACCTGACTTGCCTGTGGACAGGATGTTCTTGGGAATGCTGACTCTGTCTTCAGAGTTGCGGGCCCAGTCCACCATACCTCTCCAACCCTTCATGGGGAAGTTGATGTCTGCGTGACCCATCACTGGACGCTTGTGGATGCTCAAAACTGTAACACACACACACACACACACACACACAAATTAAATAACAGTAACTATATATCAGATGACCAACTATAGCATTTATACAGTGGGTTGCAGAAGTATGCACACCCTCTGTAAGCCACCAGGAAGAATGTTTTTTTATATTTTGCCCCATCCTTCTTACTTACAACTCTGATCAGGTTCAGAGTTTCTACTCATGACAAACATCCCCATAACATGATGCAGCCACCACCGTGCTTCACTCGGAGATGGTGCTCAAAGCATCCTTGTGTTGAGACAGTCTGTCAGTTATGGTGTGCTACTTTCAGGATGGCAGTTTTGAAAATACTTAAAACAAGTCTGGTCCTCTATTTGCTGTATTCATCTGGGGCAGAAAAAATAAAGCAAGTATTGGGGAAACTATGATTGACTGATTTTGGAGTCAATCCCAATTTAAGATGGCCACCCCTAGCCAACACAAAATGATTAGACCAGTCAGGTTTGCAGGTACTGAGCTAATGTTTAATGTGGTAGAAGCTGAGCATCAATCCTAAAACATGCTTTGAGTTCTAACAAGTCTCACAAAGTCATGTTCCATCACAGACAACATTCTTTTAAGGTTGAACAAAAGTGGCTATACTCATTTCTAAACATCATAACAGGATCTTGAGTTAGAATTCATACAAAGTACATGAAAGGCAGCAGGATACACTCCTTCAACAAATACTCTGCCTCAAATTGTTTTCCTGTTGGTGTGTTGTTGTTTTTTTCTTTAGATTGTTATTCACGCTACTTCCAGGCTGTGGCTGAGTGGTTCGAGCAGTTGTCCTCCAATGCAAGAGTTGGGGGTTCGATTTCACCAATAGTCACATGCCGAAGTGTCCCTGGGCAAGACACTGAACCCCTCATTGCCTCTGATGTGTGTCCCATCAGTGTATGAATGTGATAAAGCTCTGACTAGTCTTTGTAAAGAGTCAGAGATTCTTTATTGTCATTCGCACCTCATGTGGTGGAGCAAAATTATGGTCACATGGTCCCAGCTACATCCAACAATAAAATGTAAATGAAAAACAGTAATAGCATCTAAGATATGAACTAAGAAAAACATCAACTAAATACACAAAGCACTAATAACATAAAAACATTATGTCAAACAGCAGCACAAACATGAACATGAATGAACACCTCAACACGAAACAGATCAGCAGCAACATGAAACAGATCAGCAGCAACACGAAACAGATCAGCAGCAACACGATGTGATTTTTTTTCACAGTGATTATTCTGGATAGAGATTCATGAGTCTAACAGCCTCAGGGTAGAAGCTGTTCCTCAGTCTAGTGGTTCTACACTTAATGCTCCTCAACCTCCTCCCTGATGGGAGTGGGGCAAAAAGTGTGTGTGCTGGGTGAGTGGGGTCCTTCATGATGCAGGTGGCCCTCTTCCTGCATCTGGAGGTGTAGGTGTCTGTGATGGTGGGGAGACAGACTCCAACATCTTCTGTGCAGCCTTCACCACTCTCTGCAAAGCTTTTCTTTCTGCAGCTGTGCAGCCTCCATGCCACACGTTGATGCTGGAGCACAGGATGCTCTCCACTGCACACCTGTAGAAGGAGGTGAGGACTGAGCTTCCAGACCAGCTCGCTTCAGCCGTCTGAGGAAGTAGAGTCTCTGATCTAGTAGAGTGCTGTATGAATGGGTAAATGAGGCACAGATTGCGTTGTAAAGAACTTTGAGTGTCTTGATCAGATAGAAAGGTGCTGTATATTTACAGTCCATTCACCATTCCACAGATTTTCTTCTATGTTTACCTTTCATATATTAAATTGTTCAGCTCTAAATGTGCATCATAACTTTTACACCAAAGTCCATGCTCAATACTCTAAGTATAAACTCCAACAGTTTTCAGTCAGATCATCTGGACAGTTTCTCTTTTTTTTTGTGCTGATACGTTTCACCTTCCATCCACAAGGCTTCATCAGTCAAGGAAACACACAACACAAAACTGATTCTTCCCCAACAGCTTACTCCAAAGTGGAACAAACCAGTTATGTTGGTGCTAAGATGGTCTCTGGGGCACGCCCCCTCCTCCGGTGCACGCCTTCTCCCTCATCGACAGGCATGTCAAACTGGTTCAAAACCAACAAGGTCCATGTTCAGTAATCCAGGTAAAAAATTTAAAAAAATTCAGTCAGGTCATCTGGACAGATGTCAAATTAACCCGTTTTTTTGTTTTTTTTGTCTCTGTGTGTTCTTGTGATGGACTGGAGACCTGTCCAGGGTGTACCCCACCTCCCACACAGTGTTAGCTGAACTTGGATACCATTGACCCTAAAAGTAAGAAGTGGGTAAAGTAATGGATGGATGGATGGATGGATGGATGGATGGATGGATGGATGGATGGATGGATGGATGGATGGATGGATGGATGGATGGATGGAGCAGGTTGCTGCTTGCAGGTGTTGAAAGCAGCAAGGTTACTCTCAAGCTAACTGTTTATGTCATTAGCAAACTTGACTGATTGCTGATCCAGTGAATGTGATAAACCTCTTGTGCATCTTCTTCTCTATCTCCATCTGTACTCCTTGCATGAGTACAACTGGTTGTTTGAATTCCAGTGATAACAGATTCTTGATTCCTATCTATTGTTCTATTTCGTATAGGCTTCGCCCTTTAAGGCTGTCGCTGGTGGGTTTATCCCGTCATGCAAAGCATCACACTGAAAAAATTTAGTCCACGCCCACCTGTTGTGTGGACCCCACCCGGTCCGTATAAATTACGTTAAGAGCGGGTAATCGGCTCCCATTTTTTCTTCAGCAAGCTAACAGCACTGTCAGAAGAACGAAGAAGGAAAGTTGTCCAGCTTGACCGGCACAACCTTTGCTAAGGCTGCCTGGGTCCCCGCCACGCTAACCTCCTGCCGTCCCGATGAGTTCTTCCTCCCCGAGGAGAAGCAGACAAGCAGCCTTGTTTAAGGTAAGCACCGAGGGATATTTTTTCTGTGGCGGGTCACTTCCCGCTGGACGACACCATCTATCCTTTCTAACGCCGACTCTCGGAGCAAATCGGATGGTTCCTCCGGGATAGGCGATGTCAGCAGCAGCCCCGCTGAGAGGAAAACACAGGGTTTTACTCTCGTTACTTCCTGTTCCCAAAACGGACAGGAGGGATGAGACCCATTTTGGATTTGTCAATTTTCAACTGTTAGACAACATTCCATTCAAAATGCCTGGAGTCGGCTCTGCAGCCACTACACAGAGCGGGGATGAGAATTCTATTTTATCTGGACGATCTATTGCTGATGACCCGTTTCCATCCAGGAGGCAGCAGTGCAAACTCAGCTCCTCCACGTGAAGCAGGTAGAAGAGACGGTTGATTGCTGTGCCCCCCTCCGTGAGAATCGACCTGAGACACTGGGGAAACCCTCTTGTTCTATCGGAGGGAGTTCCCATCAGCAGACCTACGTCACGTCTCAGTTTTCACAGATGCATCCCTGTCAGGCTGGGGAGGCACATGCATGTCTCGAGCTGTGGGGGCGCTGTGGCCACCCCACACAGAAGCTCATATAAATGTTTTGGAATGTTGCACAGTTTGGAATGTGATTCAACATTTTGCTCCTGTGCTGTAGAATCAACATGTTCTGATTCACAAAGTCAACAAGTGACTGCATCATATATACACCAGCAAGGGGGGTGGGGGGGTGCGCTCAGCCCAAATTTTACACATTGCGAGACAGCTGCTGTGTTGGGCACACCAAATCTGCTTTCCATCAGAGCAGTGTACATCCCCGGTGTTCTTTTTTTTTTTTTTTTTTTTTTTGTTTTTTTTTTTTTTCGGTGTTCTGAACAGAGGGGTGGATGTGATGTCCAGGGCTGGTCCGCGTCACAGGGACTGGAGCCTCCATCCTGGGCTGATGGCTCAGACGTGGCAGAAATTTGGCAGAGCGGCCGTGGACCTGTTTTGCCACACGAGAGAACGCTCAGTGTCAACTATGATTCTCACTGAGCCCGCGGGATGAACCACCGCTAGTGGTGGACGCGTTTACTCATAGCCCATGGCCCAAAATGCTTCTTACGCATTTCCCACACTCCCTCTGATATCACAGGTTCTGAACCGAGTTAGGGAGGAGGGTCTGACAGCCCTCCTGGTGGCTCCCGAGCGTGTGAACACCACATGGTTCCCAATTCTACGATGCCTGTTATCGGGGCGCCCGTAGAAACTGCCGTGGAAGGAGGATGCTGTCCTCCAGGTGGGAGGATCGATCAGGAGTTAGCCAGAAATAGGCCAGCACCTTTGGGTCTGACCACTGAGCCGATCTGTTTAGAGAGGATGGGTCTCTCTCAAGATGTAGTGTGTATGATCCAGGATTCACGTGCTGCATCTACCACAACGCTGTACACATCAAAGTGGACAGTTTTTCAGTGCTGGTGTACAGAGAAGGGTGTAGAGGCCACGTCATGTCCACTAGGTGGTGTGCTGTCCTTTCTGCAGCAGCTGGTGGACAGAAATCTGGCGTTCAACACGATTAAAACGTACGTTACAACCATATCTTCTTGTTACGAAGGTTTTGGGGACAGAACAGCTTTTAATCATCCGCTGATGAAGCATTTTTTAAAAGGTGTACAGAGGCGCAGGCCTGTATCACAAACATTTTCTCCACAGTGGGTTTTAAAGCTGGTTCTGCGAGCCATGATCAAAGCTCTACTCGAGCCACTAGATCAAGTTCCAATTAAATTCTTGTCTCTTAAAACAGCCCTGCTGCTGGCTTTAACATCCGCTAAGAGAGTGAGTGATTTATCTGCCCTCTTTGTTGCTCCGTCATGTCTCAGAATTCAGGCTGATGGCAGCTCAGCTGATCTGAGGCCTAATCCAGCCTTTATGCCTAAAAACATCACAAGCTCTTTTAAATCAAGAGCATTATCGTTGGAGGGTCCCCCCCCCCCCCCCCCAAACCAGAAGAAGAAACATCTTTCCATCTTCTCTGTCCTCTGCGGACTTTGACGTGTCACGTAGCACGTACGGCG